CGTTGCCAAGCGCTTGGACTATTCAAGTGAATTTCTTCATATTATGCAAGTTAACATACACCAGCAAACAATTTCACCCCAATTTCCCCTCCTCTTCAGAGCCCCCTGAATGCAATTGAACATGCTATCATAGTACAAAACTTTACAAAAAAGTGTCTCCAAAAACTTTGATCAAAGGATGAAAAGGGGCTAGGAAGGACATTTGTGAATGTAACTGAAGACAATTTATTCTGTAGTCCAAGCTATTTTGGCAACGATTGCAGCTATTCTAAACTGTTAAACAGTTGTATGAAATACATTTTATTACATGGGCTTATAGCTCTGTTTTTAACTTCCATCTCAGCACAATGACGAGAATTTTTGAACCGCAAATAGTTTTTGTTACGCTACTGCGGGTCGCATCAAGTGGCCAACCGCGGGAAATCTTCAAAAACGGGTTTTTTCAAGTGGATATATCTGAAACTTTTCCAATACGGATACGTGTCGACCAGGTTGAAAAATTATTCGTCGGCAACAATAACTTCAGTCCCACGGCACACATTGTCCAAAGTCGAAAAAATTTTGAATCCGCAACAAGAACTTGTGAGAACAAAGATTTCCGTCATATGTGTGGATTGCATCTCTCAGTTTTTTTGTTTTGTTTTGTTTTGCGTGTTTTTTTTTTCGCAAAATTTCAATTGGATTGAGACTGCATTTAGATGTCTTTTTATTTGGGCATTGTTTTCGTTTTCCCAGCAAAATTCTACTTTTTCAAAGTGCACGACTAAACAACAAGCTCGATGGTCTGGACAGAGTTTATGGTTGGCTTGACAGACTTACCCTCAGCATGACGCGGATATTGAGTAGGAGGTTGACGGAGGCAGTTTCGTTGTAGGAGTTGTGGTTAATTTGAAAACGAAGTACTTGAAAAACATGATCTTGATGTAGATGGGATGATTAGCTATGCTGAAATGGTGAAAAAGAAAGTCAGTTCTTTGAAGGATCTCGGAAAACTAGCACGCAATCAAGCCGCCAATGGCAACACAACTCGAAGATTGATTGTGCAGACGAATACAGAAAGATATAATGATGAATCAAATTATAATTACTTAACGAATAGAATTTTAAATAAACAATTTATGAATATAGTTTTATAATTTAACTTCGGTTCTGGATAAACACAAGCGAGCGCCGGTGAGATGAATACCACTCGAGCTACAACTATGAGTAAATGCTGCCACGACCAGAAGCGCTACATCTGGATCCGAAAAACAAATAAAATCACCGCAAGTGTCAAAAAACAATAACAACTAAATCCCTAAGAAAACTTGGAGTTCAATTATTAAGCAAACAATATAAATTTCAATGTTGGTGGGCGAAAAAAAATTGAGTTTGCCTAATAAAAATTATTCGCAAGGAAAACCAGAATACCAGAGCAAAGGTGAAGCAAATCGACGAATACTAGTGATCACATGATCACGTGGGCTTCCAACATAAAGAGCTTAAAGTTACATTATGGCTTCATTTCTCCACATTCATTACTGATGAAATTACCCAAAAACTACTAAGTTTGACTTTTGTTTTAGCCACAAATATGTAAAATTTGCGATCTTTGGGTAAATGCT